GTATGTTTAGCAATTCTGGTGATGGAATATATATATACATCTCATAATGTCTAGTGGGCTCTTTTATTATTTAATATTTTAACTAGATATTTTTATTATTTATATAATAATCCTACCCCTTGTTATTAAAAAATAAAAATTAATAATTCAGAAGTCTCTATACATTAATACTTAGTAGTCAATTTAACAAATTGCCTGTGTTTTGTGTAAATTATTAAAACATTGGCATGCATTATGATTGCTATAGATTATCATTATTATTTAAGTACTACATATTTACATAATACGTTAATGTAATATGCTATCTAATTTTCAAATCTGCATTTTTTACATAGCAACTCACAAACTGGTGCTTGTATGCATGCCTCAATTATTATGAAGGAAATAACTATTATGTTAGATCACAACATGATTTTCCTAAGAATAAGTTATAAATTAGGCATTTATTTTTCTTGTTTATCTTGTTAAATTATTTAAATAAGGAAACCATTAGACTGAGTTCGTTTTAATGCCTCTGCAACTGCTTAAGCAAACCAAACCTAAGCCTGTAATGTTTCAATGTTAAGAAATCAAAACCTAAGGACAATCATAAACAGCCAAGTAGGTTTTTCCAAATAATATAAGCAGTTAAGCTATGGGTAATCAAGTGATTCCTTTGCTTTGCTTTCACTTTTTCTCCATAAATGTCTCTCCCCTAGCTCCTGTCGCTGGAGCATTCCTAAACACCTTTGGTTTGATGTTGCTCATTCAAATCGATTTTTGCTCAAATAATTCTTAAAATTTTTAATATGCCCCAGTTTATATATTAACAATCTTTAATTGGCAAGTCTTCCCTAGAATTTCTTTGAAATCTAATGTTTCCTCTTCCATTTCCCAAGTATTACAGAATTTAAAGAACTGAATGATTGCTGTTCAATTAAATGTAATAAGAAAGTAGTTCCTTTCTGCAAACTGTGTTTGTTTGCATTTTATGTTTGGAAGTTTGTTTGTTTGTTTAATATAGTAATACCAGCTACCAGTCAGACCCACACTTGAATGCACTACTTATGCATATCAAAACTTCTGGTAACAAGCTTGAGGTAGAGAAAAACTATTAGCTATTCATAGAGCTACTCTTAAAGCTAATTGCTTGTTTAATATTATCTTTTGCCTAAATAACAACCATAAAAAATTTTAAGTATATTATTATATAAGTATGTTTGAAATGTTTATGCACTGAAATTTATATAGGGAATGAATCCCAGAAGATACTTTTGTGTGTAATAGTACTACTATACCAGAAGGGCCATAGTTAAATCATTTTCCTGGAAAATAGAGGAGTACATGGGAGGAATGAATGATCCCTTCCCCTACCTAGGATGTCATTTACCAGCACTGATTTGAGGATGAACCTCCTTTTTTCAAGGCATTGTTACTCATTCCCTATCTTCTTTCTCATTTCTCTTATAAAGACACCCAAACTACTGGAGTTGATGTGTAACCTTTATTCCATGTTCCCTATGTTGATTTAGGAAAGATGTTACCCTAGACAGTTTGGCTCATGGATTGAGCACTGGCCTGCAAACCAAAGGGTCCCTGGTTCGATTCCAAGTCAAGGCACAAGCCTGGGTTGCGGGCCAGGTCAGGTCCCCAGTAGGGGGCGTGCAAGATGCAACCACACGTTGATATTTTTCTCCTCTCCCCCTTTCCCCCTGTCTAAAATAAATAAATAAAATATTGTTTAAAAATTATTTAAAAAATGCATGATGTTATGGTGTACATGTGTGTTTTTAAATTTACATAAAGGGTATTGTTTATATTTCATTCCATTCTTTTTCATACATTTTTATGTTTTTTTAGGGAGCTGTGCATAAATCTATTTAATTGCTTCCGACTCTTAGAAACTATGCCTATATGTATTATGCAAGGGCACACACACATGCACATATGTATACATTTTATATTTTAAAATCTCAGTGAAAAGCACTTGGGAAACTGTGTGGTTCAGAGCTGACCTACCCTCCACCTATCTGAATATCATGTTTAGTTCAAAGAACAACTGACACACTGACAAGTAATACCTGGATATTAGGCAGATATTTTCTTGAAAATGAATAAAGTAATCCTGCCATATTAAGTAAAACTGCTGATAGTAATTGTTGCTAGTGATAAAATTTGAAATTTCAAGTGAAAATTAAATTTTGGAAAAATGCATCTGCCAATGTGAGCATGAGAGTTGCAATACTTAAAGATTTTTTTTCTGATGAAATTGGTGGTGATATTACTGAGTGTGGCTTTTTTATATTATGTAATAAAATGTCATCCTTTGGAGAATTTGCATAGCTCAGTGAGCTTATATTTTTCAAATGACCAATGTATAATGTTATAAAACCATGCATGGGTAAAAAAGCTATACAAAGTGCACAATAAACCAATGGATTTTAACATAATGAATATGAAGAATTCACTGGTAAATTTCAGATTGCACAGTGTAGTTAAAATTTAAGAAATCACTTGTCAAGTTTTTTCTCACTTGTCAAGTTTTAAAAAGAATGTGCACACTTATCTGAATAGGTTATTAAAATACTCCTTCCTTTTCCAACTATGTAAAGCTGGATTTTCTTTATATACTTCAGCCAAAAAGTATTTGTAATAGGTTGAATGTAGAAACGAATATGAGGACCTACTTGTCTTCTCTTAAGCCAGGTGAAGAGATTTTCAAAAATGTAAATCAACCTCTTTTTGGTAAATTTTCAGTTTTAGACAATTATTTTTTATAAAAAGATGGTGTTACATTAAAATGTAATGTGTTTATTATTAATAAATTTTACTTTAATAAAATAAACAATTCTAAAATTTGGCAGTATTAATTTCTAGTTATGTACATATGAGATATACATATCCTGTATGATTATATTTGCTCTTTGGGGATTTTCATAATTATTATTAAAGGAGTCTTAAGACCTAAAAGTATGAGAACTAGGGTACTGAGTAAGCCTCTATCAGTTTTTTGATATCACACTTATCTTCTCCCAGCCTGTCACAATTCTATTAACTTTACCTATGATGTATTTGGTTAAATAGAAATATTTACATTTTTTTGGATCCAATTCTATTTTTGCTTCATATTTTGTGCTTTACTGATCTTAAAAGAACAGCGTCTTCATCTCTGAGGTCACAAAAATACAGTTCTAAATTTCTTTGCTGTTACATGAACAGTGTTACTTTTCACATTAGAACTTCAGTACATTCTAATACAACTTTATTCCTCTCTAGAGAATCAATTTCTTCAACACTATTTACTAAATAACCCATCCTCTCCCTACTAACTTGTAATGTTGCTTCAAGTATGAGCATATTTAATATATTTTCTCAAGTAAGAGAAAGAGAATGCCATACATAAAATACTGGAAGAACATTGCTCTTCCATAGCCTTGTGGTAATTCACCTAACATACTAAAATAAAGTATCTTTCATAGGTTATCTATTTCAAATCCCACAGTTAAAATTCTAAAATTGATCTTTAAAAAAAACTGAGGTCGGTGTTAAGAGTAATAAGTAAAATTTACCTGTATGTGGGATATTCTCTTTTGGAGCCTCCAAAAATTTTGGAACATAAAATGTATATGTGGAAGAATATTGGTGAACTTTCAAAAACCTATAAGGATGCTGTCTACATGCAGGATTCAGGATTTCCCTTAACACAATAACACATGTAACATCTATAAACCCAAGGAAATAAAACATTGTAGACCTTTTCGTAAGTCACGGTGTTTGTGTAGGGTAGGAACATTTTAAGGATTGCTTTCTTAGTTCCAATTTTTAACTTTATGAATATCTCATAGGAAGATAGGTAGGAAAATGGTTACATAGGTAGGTAGATAAGTAAGTAGATAGATAAACTGTTTACAGAGGGGCTGATTTCTAATTGCACATCTTCTACCATTTTAAATGTTAACTCTCAGAATTTTATTGGAAAGTAAAAACACCTAATCACTTAAATGAATATGAAAACTTTCTGATTTTCTCTGGAAAATGGTCTCTGAATTATTAATATTATAGTGTAAGACATTTAATCTTTTTCATTTGTGATTGGAAAGGAAAACTTTGTAATAATTTTTCAAGAACATTGAAACACTGCCTTTCTACTAAATATAAGATTTTGCATACAGCACAAAAACACTTAAAGTAAATAAAAAATTTTAATATTTCTATATATGAAGAATATGTTTCTTATCTTAGCATTTATTTATTATATGTTAAACACCAAAGGAGCTCCCCTTATTTAAATATGAGAAGAACATTAACAAATTTATTAGATACCTTTATTCCTACAACAAACTATTGTTGGGTCATTTGAAATGGAGAGAAAATATGAAGAGAAAATACCAGTTAGAAAGAAAGTCTCCATGTGATGAAATGAAAAGCAAGTATTTTATGAAAAATCCTCTACAACCTATAATGGAGACAATAAGGAAACAATAATATAAAGATCCAGAAACTAAAGATACTTCTGTTTATTTTGTTTTTTTCTCAGTATTGTTGCCTTTACCTTTTCTTATTCTAGTACTCAGATATTCAAATTTTAACTTTAAATAGAAATAGTTTGAAGCCTAAAGCATTTGAGACACAATTATAATTATATAGACCTTAGAGCTTTATTGTCATGTCACTGAAGTTATTCAGACAAGATGATGTTCCCATTTTTCAGTTTACAAGGTTACACCTTCATATCATAACCAATGCTTTTCATACTTAATATCCTCAAGGAACATTGCCCTTTTCAAAGTTTGTTCACAAACATTGCTTTATTCGAATAAAGATGTTCCAGTAAAGAAAGATTTTGAAACTAAACTTAGTATATTTTTAATTTCACTTGGAAAAAGTACAAGAAAATTATCTTATTGTATTATTTTAAATATATACTAATAAATAAAAAATGTTCCATTGCCAAAATGGATAGAGTCAATATTGTTATCCTGAAAGCAAAGTAGTAACCATTGTCTATCTTGCTTCCTCAGATAAATTTACAAAAAAAAATGAGAGTCACAGGTGTGATTACCCAGGGAGCCAAAAGGATTGGAAGCCCAGAATATATAAAATCCTACAAAATTGCCTATAGTAATGATGGAAAGACCTGGGCAATGTACAAAGTGAAAGGCACCAATGAAGACATGGTAAGAATGCTATAACATACTTAATTTAGAAGTTAAATTCCACTAATAATCACTGATTGCAAATAAATAATCAGTCTTCAGCAGAAGCTTTAGGTTGCTGAAAATAAATTTTGATTTTTTTAAAATTGGACAAGTGAGGTGAAAGAGGCAAGGAGCTTCTCCAAGCTATAAATGTATACTGGCTACCATTTAAGACTCTGATTTTAATTGGTGGTCTTATAATCACTTTATCACAAGTTAATGATATGTTTATAACAGTTATTCTATTTTAACAATGGTAAGTTTTTGAATTAATTTTATTGCTTTGATAGATTAGCACTCTCCATAATCAAATAACTATATATCAAAAATCATATTTGTAAAGGAAAAAGTATTATTTTGAAAGAAAACACCAAGTGATAGAAAAGATGTATATCTTTACATACTTAATATTAGAAGAAAAATTTTGTTACTTAACAGAATAAAATATTTTAAAGGAAATGTCCCTTGTCATTTATATGATAGTTTCATCATCCCAAATTTTTATTAATTTTTCTTAAAATTTTTAATTTTAAAACGTCATGATTGTAGCTCATCCCATTTAAAACCAAGTCCTTAGACACAACTCCAACAAATTATATGTGATTTTTTAAATCACCTTCTTAAATAAATTTTAAGTTATCTAATTACCAGGTTGTATAAAAGGTAAAATAAGAATGAGATTTAAAGGAATTAAAAAATAACATATTTAACCCTTAATTTTTAGAAGGTAGTATAGTTTTTTACTGGTGATATATATAAAGAATTATGAGTCTCTTATCCAATGATCTGGGACTGACTGATAAGGAACTATCTTAGGATTCAGACCCTAAAGCATCGTAAGTCTGATCATAGCTTTAGAGAGACTAAGCAAACAAGAAGCACTAAGAAAGACGGCTTCCTAAAGGAAAAAACGTGTGTGTGTGTGTGTGTGTGTGTGTGTGTGTGTGTGTGTGTGTGTGTGAGAGAGAGAGAGAGAGAGAGAGAGAGAGAGAATGGACAAGCCCACATTAAGCTGAAAGACTTAAGGTGCCCATTTCTCAAAAAATGAGTGAAGCATTCTCCTGGCTTTGAAGGACTGGCCTTAAAATTGACAACAATCTCAAATTAAGATACAGATTATACTGTAGGTCACAGTGATTTGTAACTTTAAGTATTTCATCTACAGGTTTGGTATATTTGACTGATGACAGGGTGCTTCCTAAATACTCCAGATCCCCAAATTATTTAATCCAATTTTGGAAAGATTATGTTGAGTAGGACATAGGATCAATATATAAAAATAGGTAAATAAGCTATTCATAATTATAACCCTATATTATATTTTTACACAGGTGTTTCGTGGAAATATTGATAACAACACACCCTATGCTAACTCTTTTACACCACCCATAAAAGCTCAGTATGTAAGACTTTATCCCCAAGTTTGTCGAAGACACTGTACTTTGAGAATGGAACTTCTTGGATGTGAACTATCAGGTGAGTCTCATGTTACCTAGTTTAGTATTCTCTTTTTTAAAAAAAAAAATCATTTGTGTGTAGGCTATTACTAACTTGCAACTTTTCAATACCCACCAGATATTCATTTTTGCTACAAAATGTCTAGGGCATGGTTCAGTGAGAAAATGTGAAATTGTGTGGGTATAGGATAAACAAGTTCTAAAACACACTGCAGAAGAGAACTAATGTAGAAGGAGTGGTGTATTTCTTTGAATGGTCAATGAAAGTACAACAAAAATCTCACCGAAAGCTTCTATGTATTTCAATGTGTCTTGTTGTTTTTAATAGTACCTACAATTTATGCTTTGTGACAAAATTTCAGTAAAAAGTGGAATCTGCCTGACTTTGTTAATTGCTGTTATGTTTAGGCTATATAGAAAAGTAAGCTTTATCTTTGTCCACCTACTGTAAGAACTTAGTTTTGAGAGTATATTTTTATTTAAACAATACTTCAATACCAAGGTTGCTACTATAAATTCATTCTTGGATCATTCTTATTAACCATCCTGCTTGTTGTACAAATATGGTTATACAATTCAAAGATAATCTATCAAGACTCGTAATTAAAAAACCCTTGTCTTACAAGAGCATTAGTATTAGATACAAAGATGAAGACTTAATGTATGGATCTCACAGTGGTCCCTTTTCAACATAGCTAGTTTCTGAACTAAACAGAAAAATAATGTCTAGGTTTTCCATTGTTATATTTTTGGTAGTTGTTCTTATAACTTTAGCATCAATATTTGCAAGCTATCTTTGCTGCTATGGCCTGAATAGCACATGGCCATGCTATTTTGTTCAAAAACATGTTTTCTGAAAAATAAAAATTCATATGCACCCCACTTTTTAGCATACCTCCAAATATAAAAGACTTTTATCAATCCTACAATAATACTGTTTAGTTAAAAATAGGAAGACATATTCTTGCAACAGGACATCTAAGAACTATTTATTCATCCTAATAAATATTTAACCAATATTCAAGAGACTGCATATTGGTTAAAATGTATACTTTGTGTCTGTCTCTCTTATATTTATTTGTGATACTGGAAAAAAAGATGTTTAAGCAAATAAAAGTTACTATTAATAAACTTTAAATGAACCCATTACATTGAAAAGAATTAGAGGAAGTTAGCTAGATGAGTGAATCTGTTTTAATAATCACATTTCATATTATATATAGGTGTCTTTTATGAAACAGCCAACACATGACTTTAGTACTATTAATTTCTCTAATGTTGATGTTTTCCTAATTTTGATAAATCAAACCGGCTTATTGGCTACCAGTAAATCTGAGCAGAATTATTGCTGTGCAGTGTTTATATTGCATGTCAGTGTATCGCCACAGGCCAGTGTGAACCCTAAGTCATTCATCATAAAGCAATCAAGATGAAGCCACAATATGATGAGGTTTGCTGCAAGCTCCATGTTTTTTAGTTGTTTAGCATCACCTTCCTCAATTTTTCAGTCACTTGATTCATGAAGGTCGGTTTCTCATACAAAGCACAATTACACCCCTAAGGTGTGAATGTATTTTACTTTCAAGTTTGACAAGAGGTTTACACTGGACACTTAACAGATTTTATGTTCTCAGAAAAGAGCCATACCCATCTCCCAATGCCACGAATTGATTTGAACTTGCTTGTAGAGAATAATATCACTCGATGAATGTTTTTAAAAGCTAGGGCACCTCATGATAGAAATAATCAACCTCACTCTTAACATTTCATTTTGTTCAGGTGCTGTCCATGCTTGCAAAAGAGTTAGTTAATTTACATGTATGAAATCATACAGATAGGAAGGGAGATTTGTGAGGCAAATTGGAAGTGATTAGCTGTTACATTTAGAAATAAACAGTAATACAATGTACCAAACTATTTCTCACAATATGGTGCAACGCTATAAAACCCAAAGCTGCATTATTGTATTCAGTAAACTGTTACAAGATCTCTCAGCCTGCCTAGAAGATCAGCAGTTAATCTTTCCCTGCACACTTAAAAAGAAAATCCCCTAAATTCTCTGAGAGAGATATAATTTAAGATGTTTAGAAGGAAATGGATCAAGACCATAACTAGGAAATGAACAGTCATTCATTCATTCGTTCTTTGAACAAATTACTCAGAACTTCCTCTAGGCTAAGTACTAGAAATAGAGTGGCTATGAAATGAAGTCTATGAATTAGAAATGGTCAAAGTAAAGGTATCCTTTTTCTATGCAATATTTGAAATACTGCTATATCATAAAAGAAAAAAAAACAAAACAAGCACCTTTCCTTTTCCCTTGTCTGTCTTCAGCAAGCCAAACAAAGTTTTACAAAGACTCCAGTAGCAGGACAGGGTGGGGGTAGGCACTTGGTAGAAGCAATGTAAGAACAAGTCAGAAATCTATAATACAGACAATGTATATTATCTTAGAATTGCCTGAAGTTAAATGGCATGTTATTAAGACTTTAAAACTTACTACAATCTTTAAGATTTGTCGTGAAATTTTTCTTCATTTTTTTAAAATCTTTATTGTATTTTTTCCATTACCTTTTAGCCTCCTTATACCTCCCTTCCCCCAGCAATCCCCACACTGTTGTCCATGTCCACGAGTCCTTTTTCCTTTTTGTCAACCCCTCCACCTCCTCACCTCTCTCCCACTGTCTGTCATCTGCTCTCCACCTATGAGTCTGTTCCCATTTTCCTTGTTAGTTCAATCTATTCACTAGATTCCACATATGAGTGAAACCACATGGTATTTGTCTTTCTCTTGACTGGCTTATTTCACTTAGGATAATGAAATTTTTCTCCTCCAGAATTTGTATTTAAGAATTAGAGATGCTTTTATCATGGGACCTAGGGTATATGTCTCCTGTCCCTAAAATCCAACAACACTTGTACTAAGGCATAGTTGGCTAACCCTCCAGGACCATTTTTGTCATCTTTGCATTAAATAAGCATTTCCTAGGTGGTAGAATTAAAGGTAGATATGCAAGCGCCTGAAGAAGGAAGTAGTAGTCTAGATTGACTAAGACAGAAAGGAATTAATTGTAGTTAAGAAGTATTTATTAATAAAAATTCTAAGCCACTTCTCTTTGAAACTTGTTTTAAAATTGCTTAGTTTTAGAAACTACAGCCAGTGTTAAAATATCCTTTAGTACTCACCAATAGGCTCATCTGAAATCTTAACATTGTTGCCTGTTGGAATGAGCTTTACAGAAATAATAAAAATAGATGACATGCTAGCTATGCGCAGGCACTCTTTCTAAATAGTTTATTAACTAATTTCTTAAAACACTTCTTTAAGATAGTTTCTATTATCATTATTATAAAAATGAGAAAACTGAGACAAAATGTGGTTACATAATTGGTACAAACCCACACAGAGAGTAAGTGGGAGACCAATAGAATATGAGAAGATGGCATTGGTTAAGGAAGTCTTCCTTTTCTCTTGGCTTTCTTGATGATCAAACTTACTTTGTGTGTTCCTTGGCCAAACTGTAAGTTTTGCTTAAGGAAGACTCATCCACTGGATTATATGATAACAGAATCATGCTTCCTATTACAGGCTTTGTGGCTGGAATTTTGTCACAACTTTAATATAAGATTGGGAATTCATGTGTACACACACACACACACACACAGACACACTTTTTTAAGGATAGACAAACCCAAATGTTGCACCATGTCAAACCTTAAAACATATGTGGCAGGATTGAAAATCTTCCAAAAATATCCAATACTAAAAGTTATTGAGTATGCTCAAAATCTAAGAATGTATAAAAAGTCTTATCCAGTAATAGCTTTTGCTAAAATTAGCTCACTTTCTTCTGTTTCTATTTGTTTAAATCCTACACTTGCACAATGACTGGCACATGGTATACACTGAACCAATAGTAGCTTCTCACCTTCCAGTAGAAGCCATGTTAGTGCTATAAGAATCAGTGATAAAGGTTACAGAAGTTTCTTGGGAAAGAAAATGCTATCTAGTTTATACTATGCCATTGGAGCAGTTCATGAAAATTCCTTTGTACTGAGGGAATTTTTATTTGCAGGATTATGGAAACAAATAAAGAAAACCATATATCCTTTGTGAGAAAATGTTCCATTTTTGAAGATGCAGTGAACAGTTGAAAACTAGGGAACAGTCATGTGGCTATCATTAATGAAGCAGGAGAGAGCATTTCAGCATTGTTTCCATTTTGCAAAATCATCTATTGCAGAAATGTAGTTTGAATTGGCTGTCTTGTTTTCAATTTTTTCAAAATATATTCAGGCAAAATAAACTGAATTGACTCTTTCATTTTTTATTTTGTTCCAGGTTTATTTCTGATTATAGCCCCCCCCTTTTTTTTAATTTAGATCCTCTCTCTTTGGGGGAATGAATAGCATTATGCTTAATCTTCTCTTGCCTATCCAAAATAGAGACAGAAAACTTCCAGGATGACAAATTATTTTTTTCTCATGGAGCCCTTCTCATTTTCTTGCAGGCTGTTCTGAGCCTCTGGGGATGAAATCAGGACATATACAAGACTATCAGATCACTGCTTCCAGCATTTTCAGAACGCTCAATATGGACATGTTCACTTGGGAGCCAAGGAAAGCTCGGCTGGACAAGCAGGGCAAAGTGAATGCCTGGACCTCTGGCCACAATGACCAGTCACAATGGTTACAGGTAATATTTTCACAAACTGTTTCACCACCCACTGCACCTCTCCTTTAAAAAAAGATTTCCTGTTGGTTAGACGAATGTTGGAGTCATTACCTTCACACTAATTTAAATGTGCCTCCCTCTTTGGCTTAACTAAATTGGTAAAACAAAAATTTCTATGAAGCCATGTCTGCGTGCTGTTCCTCCAATGTTGATTTATAGATGCTACTGTCAGATTGATGCAGCAGACTGTACCAGGTCACCCTATGTATAGGTCAATTTGATTGATTATGAGAATATTTGCATTTTAAGTCTTCTCTAGTCTAATGCTTCATGTCAATATGGGTTTGAGAGTGTCACAGCAGGAATCTAAACCACCTTAAAATCATGCCACTGACCTGAAGATTGTTCCCATAGACTGTGAATCATGACTTACTAGCTCTTTCCCTGTGGTTGCTAGGCAATAGAGCAATTTGATTACACTCTCATAATAGAGTTAGGTTATAGAAGAAAAGCAGAAACAGTCTTTTCTTCACTTGACCTTATTTTCCCCTATTCTCAAAATTAGAAAACATTTATTTTTTTTCTTTACTTTTCCCTAACTTTCTATCTGCATCTCTATTGATCTGGATCTTTATTGAGCTGTTTCATTAGCTGTCATGCTTTATGGATAAATAGGTATGTCTTTCTCTTTTTATTATTCTATGAGCTTTTTGACTTTGAAATATATCCCTCCTCCCAGAACTCAATACTTACTAAATTAAATCATTCATTTAACAAATGTTCATTTGTGATGCACCTGTGAACATGATAAATAGCGATGGCATGTGAGTGAGTATTACCCTCTTCATGCTCTTAAGACATTACCTCTTCTCTAAACCATTTCTTTTATTTGGTTTGTATGACCTCATACTTTGTTTCTTCTATTCTTCCAGCTGATGCTCCCCAAAGTCTTCCAGGTCACGTTTTCTCTGCCTATTACCTTCCTGGCAACCTCCCTTTCACCAACTCCACATGCTCACATTAACTAATTAATAATTATTGGCTACTTCAACTACTCTAAAATCATTTCACCTCCCACCATCCCCACTGCTACTTCTGTGTTCTTGGCTAACCACCCGAGGTGTGTGCAGCTTTCTGGTTTCTGGTCTACTCTTTAAAATCTACTCTCAAAATGTGCACAGTGTGATCTTTCTTTTTTTAAGACACAAATATGATTTTCTTACTCTTTTTTTTGAAAACTTTTCAATTACTTCCTATCAGCCTCAGAATAAAATACAGATTTTTTTTAATATAACCTAATAGCTTTTAAATGATTTGGCCCCATTTCCTCTCTTACCATACTTCACTAAATTTGCTTCAGTTTCTCAAAGCAAGCACTCACTCTCTTCCCATTCCTTTATAAATGTCCTCTTCCTAGAAGAAAATAATGGGGAAAGCACCTCTGCCCACAGCATCCCCAGCCTTTATCGGTGTAATCCTTCAGCTGTAGTTTGGATACACATTCTTCTGGGTGCATCCAAAGTAAGCTGCTGCCACCACTTACAAGTTTTAATTAGGCATTGCTAAATCTGGCTTAAGTTCTGTCCTTTATACTACTGTGTCATCTGTGATTCCTTTGTAGCATTATCGCACTATATTGGAAATTTTGTTTTCATGCTTCATTCTTTGCTCCAGGAGGGATGGGGCCACATCTGTCTTTTTGTCTTTCTCAACTTGTTGTCCAGTACCTAACTAAATACCTGTCACAATCTGACACATGGTAGGCATTCAATAAATATTTGTTGAATAAATGAATGAATGAATAGATGCATAGATGAATAGTTCAAAATATGATTGAATTTATTGATTTAAGCCTATACAGCATATAAATGTGACCTGGACTTAAAGACCAACTGCTAATAACCTCAAAGTTAATATAATATTTGAAAAAGAAACTAAAACCTTATAGGGAAGATCTGGCCTTTATAATACAGGAAATAAATTGTTATAATACATAGTCTTTATGAAGTTTTAAGTTCTTAATTTGAAAAACCATAGAAACATTTTTCCCATTTGTTAGAATTAAGTGGTAAAGTTAAACTTGTTCTTTGTTGCTGTATAATATATTTTTTAATGGGAAATATTCTAGTCATACCCCATATTAACCATTATTTGTGAGACATAATGCCATGCAGAATAATACAAAATGTTTTACAAACTGTAAGTAACTCAGACAAGTTGATAGAGTCTAGAAATACCCATAGGAAGGGCTTGCCAATTGTAAATTTCTTTAGAAAGATAAAAATAAACATTTTTATATGAATCAGAGTGCACTCTTCAATGCAACCTTCCATCCATCACTTTTTTTTTTAAGATGGCTTTTTGACTGTCTTCTGAAAGTCACCTGCATGCTGAAATTGATTCAATCTGTTGGTGACAGATTATCAATTCAAGGACTAGTTCTTCCAATATATGTCTTGTTTTTGTTGTGTCAAAACACATTCAGAATCTTCAAGGCAAGGTAAATTGACATCTTAACTTACATTTTTTTTTTCATTTTTGACATCATTCAAGAAAATGCTCCAGAATTATTATCATTTTTACTGTTTTCTCAAGAGAATATAATCTGTTTAACTCTACACTACTGTGGTTGTTAGTATCTGTGGAAAATAAGATTAACATTTTTATTGATAATGTATAGGGTGACTTTATTTTTGAATTGTTGACAGAGTCGATTTTTATCCTTATTTGAGGTTTCCAAATGTGTAAGTCTTAGTTGTGTTTTTAAATAAGATATATTTAATCTGATGAACAGCTCTTCAAAAGAAAAAGCATGTCTGTCACTTAAATTCCTTTCCTTCATTATCAATCTCCTGCATATTGATTTTAAAAGAAATTGACATACTAACTCTATTTCTCACTCTCTAATGATGAGAGTTTTATTTCAGTTTAGTAGGTGTTTCCAAACTTTATTTAATAGATAATGTCTAGAAATACAGTTGTTCTAAATGGAACCTCAAAAGTATTTTTAAGGAATTCTTATGTATTCAAATATCACTTTGACATTTCATTCTTTTTATTACCCTAATGTTTCTTCCAGTCTCTTCTACATGGTCAAAATCTCAGAGCTTCTTAAGCAGGTGTTCTTATATTATTTTTTAGAAGTCATCTTACCTAACTGATTAGCAGCTTCCTTGAGCTACTGTTAATCATGAAATCATTATGCTATTCCTAAATAAACATGGCAAAAATACGTTAAGTCCACAAGCAGCCCTAAATGAGGATTTTTCACACCTCTGAAAAAATGTTTCATCACTTTGATGTGTTTGCTGTTTTCTAATATTTTGAGCAAGTATCTCTAGCAATGTAGTTCTCAAAATCACAGGGGTTTTTTTGTGTTAAATTACAGTTTCTGCCTTTTAAAGAGTTTTACACCTAAGTTGAAAGATCATGAGCCATTCATTACTGATTCATAGCTGGACTTTCCTGACATATGTTTGGACTAGATTTAATCCATGTTAGAAAGTAAAGTAACCTTTAATTCACTGAGATTTTTTGGGAGCAGACTATGTTCTGTGGTTCGTTTCTGAATAAAAGACCCACACATTTTGTTGCATTTTAAGGTGAATTAAGTAAGACAAATTACAGAACAGAGGAGAAACGAATAGTAGGTACCCAGCAATAAGGAGCTTCTTTCTTTCTCTTTCCAGTGGTTTGTGTAAACTCAGGAGAGCATCATTTTAACCAAGAATGAATATCTGCATAGATATTCTTTGCTTCTTTCAAAATGTAATTCCCAATAAAACTATGAAAAATAAAGTAACATGCTGTTTGATCAGTAGCAAATTGTGATAAATGTTGATAGTTTCCATAAATTTGCATTGGCAAAAAAAATTTTAATTTTTGGTCTAGGTAGCATTAGATCAAATTCTTTACCTGAGAATAGTAATAATATTATTCATAACTTAAAATGAAAATTATGTCATTTGGCAACGTTCTCTACTGAAATAATATTCTTTTTAGAATGGTTGTGTGTTTTTATGTCCATTTTCACTGACGTTCAACATATTGAGTCAATTCCCTTCATGTGTATATGTATATTATAAAAACTGATTAAAATTCAGCATTAAAATTGTGATGTTTAATATTCTATCAAGGGTAGGAGCACTACTGATGATAATCTTAATTGTGAAGAAATATTTTGGTATAGTAAACAATGAACACTCTAAGAATTAACATGAATTGACTAACCAACTTTTTAAAAATGTCTTATGTGTGTATTCATTGCCTTATTGGTGTTAATTCACCTCTATAATTGAATTTATTAAAAAGTTTTTCAGATTTCATAAAGGAAAGCATAATATAAATGACTAACAGGAAGAAAAATGTCACAATGTCACCTACAAAATGACTTTTTGATCTATTTCATGAAACATTTGCTAATTTAAGGTAGTGTTTATAGTACTTCATCCAAATTAGTAGAATTAATTGAGTTGCTAAACTGCATACTTTAGTGTTGACCTTTGTCAAAATTGCAGCTAACCCTACACAATTTCATTTCAATACTAATTTTGAGGTAATGTGTAAGAAAGCAATTGCATTTCAGTTTTTTTTAATTAAATAAGCCATATTTAATTGAGTCCATTTTAGATTTTTAAAAGCACGTATTCTAGACATAAAATTCATAACTTCTTTAAAATCATTAACTTCTTTTGCCCTCTGGACAATTTATTTACATTAGAGCTAAGGAAAAAATTTCAAGGATCAAGGGACCTCCAAGCTTCTGGGAAATACTTGTCAATAAGAAGGAACAGCTGGATTTCCAAGTCACTCTTCCAAAACTTTACATGTAGTAAACAGTAAGCCTACAAGAAGGGTTCAGTTACACAGCAGACCTAAAAGAGATCAAGTAATGCAACTTAATTTAACTATGATTGTGACATAGTTTCCATCCTTCATAATGCTAATATATCTTGGAGTGTACAAAATGAATCAAAAGATGTTCATTTTTTGGAAGTCAAGATGGCAGAGGAGTGAGTGGA